CAACCATGCCTGTGCCTCGCCTAGATGACTGACCAAGTGCTTTCCCACCACGGGCCTCTACCCCAAAGGCTCTTCCCATTCTCTCTCTAGTCCAATCTCCCTCGGCCTTCAAGGCTCCTGAGAAGGGTCACTTCCTCGGGGAAGCCCTCCCTATCGCCATGATGTGCCCCATCACAATATCACGAGTTCCATGAGGGTAAGGACCGTGGCCAGCCTGGGGAGGGTGCCCAATCAATACAAGGGACAGATGACTGAACAGAGATGCCTTCCCCCCAGTTGGTCCACTGGGATCTAATGGAACCTTGACGAGGACTCGTCCCAGATATGCCTGGCTCTGAAGTCTCCGTGATGCCCATCAGGCACACTGCCCACCCCACGGGGAGATCCAGGAGGGCAGGGCTGGCTAGTCCTGTTCATCTCCGAAAGCCCAGGACCAAGCCGGGGCTTGGCAAATGCAGAATAGGGACATGTGCCTGCCAGCCTTCTCCTCCCCGCCCCCCGAGCTCTCAGCCTAGAGCTCTGGCTCTGGGAAGGAAAGGGGATGCCTTTCCTGACTTGGGGTCCCACTGCACCTCCACATCCCCACCCCCCTCCACCCAAACGACGTGTCCATCTCCACACCACCCTCCCTCCACACCAAGATGTGCATGAGAGCAGGCCTCGCAGGGTAGCAGATTCCAGTGGCATTCTGCAGCCTTTTTCCAAGGAGGGAGGGAGAGGGCGTCAGGGAATCAGAGGCCTGGCCAAGCCTGTGTTGTGTGTGCAAAGACCTGGCCTCTCCAGGCTCAGGCCCAGGGCCTCCAGCTGCAGAGCTGACCTGTCCAAGGCCTTCTTCATGCCCCTAAGATCCCAAATATCCCTCCAAGGCTGCCATGCCGCCAGCACAAGGCCAGGCCCACGGAGGGAAGGCAATAGCTGTGCTGTGAGCAGGCGTGTACTCAGTCACAGATTGCCCAAATCAAAATCCCACTGAAGAGACAACTGCGGATCCAAAACTGCCAAAGAAGAAAGCACAGGGCGGGGGCCTCCCCACGTAACACAGTCTGTTTCTTGGACAGCCTGGCACCCCTGGAGGGGTCCCTCCTCTCTCCTTGGCCTAAAGTGCCCCCTTCATGCAGAGAGGGGTACTGAGGCACTGGGGACAGAGATCAGGGCCAGACCAGAGTCCACCCAGCTGTGCCATTAGTTCCTCCTACAAAGTGACCCTGAACAAGTGACTTCTCTGCCCCGGGCCTCAGTTTCCCCATGCGTTGGTGAGGAGGTGCTCTCTGCCTGTCTCCTGCAGACAGAACTTTCTGTAGGGTAAATGGATACCTCCCTCTCGCTCGCCCCCTGGCACCGCCAGCCACGTGCACCAGGCAGGCCACAGGACCAGTGCCAGCTGGAGGCACAGACCTCTCGGGATGTTTGGGATTCTTCCTGCCTGAAGAACAGACTGGTTCGAGGCTGGAAGCCTGCACCCAGCCCACCCTGGGGAGACCATGGCCCAGTGCACTGTTTTCCAACTCACCCAACTTGGCTGCGATCTCTGAATGCCTCCAGGGACCCCAGGGAAAGCCTCCCAGATGCCATTTGGATGCACCCGCCTGGAACACCTCCATGCAGGGACCTTGGCAAATGCCCACTGTGCCTCAGTGCCAGCCTGTGCCTGGTCCCAAATCTGAGGCAGTGGCTTTAGTCCCATCCCCACCTATGACCCTGGGACCCCTTTTCCTCAGAGCTCACAGGATCTGGCTTAGTACCTTAAAATCATTCAAATCTCGACTTTCCTGTATCACCTAACCCACTGAAAAAACCTTCAAAAGTCTGGGGACATCACATGGGGTTATCGCTGCTCCCAGCTGTCTGCCACCAAGGCAAGGTAGGGCTGTGCAGCTGGACCTGCCCAATCTAAATCAGAGCTCTGCCACTCCCTAGCTGAGCGACGGGCCCAGCACTTCAGGTCTCCTGACCCCCATCTCCTCATCAGCTCATGAGGCGGTTCAAGGACTCAACTGACCATGCATTCGAGGTGCTCAACAGGTCCCTGGCACACAGTAAGTGCACAATCAAAGGTGCCTTAAATCCTAATGATAAAAGGGTTACTTTCCCAATTGCATTACCAGCCGGCTGACCTCTGGCATGTAGCGTCACCTCTCTGGCCTTGTTGCCTCTCCGGACAACCAAGAGGATTAGAAGACATACGATTTGCAAAACACTCAGCACAGTGCTTGGCACGTGGCGTGGGCCCTCAGAACACGCTAGCTGTGAGGACTGTGGTTCATAAGAAGGCCTCAGAAAGATGAGCCTGGGGAACAGCGCAATGTACCACCTGTTCTACCTGCTCAAATTGGGTCAGGCTGGAGCTGTGTACCCAGCTGTTACCATGGCACCCAACAGGCAGGGAAACACTCCAGCTAGGAGGGCGGGTGCGGCAGGGGTGGGGCCTTGGGCCTGCTTCGCTCAGACACCACCCATTCCACCACCACCAGTCTCTGGGCCATCTCAGGGGTACCTGGGGTTGTGGGGAGTGTGCTACTGGATCAGGGCCCAGGATCTAAGCAGGTCTCATTGCCCTTGACTCCACTCGAACTCCAAAACAATGGGGTCTTGGCCGTCTGGAGGGGTAGGCTGTGAGGTGGGGCCCACAGGCTGGAGACCAGGGTGGGCAGCACGGGAAGGGAGGGGTAGGAACCCAGAACCCTCATCCCCTGGGCAAAAGCCAAAGCAGCTCTAAAGCAGCCTCAAGTCCCAACATCGCAGTCTACCACCTCCAGCCACACCTGCCCAGCAGCAAACATACTCAGCCCGCTAAGTGCCAGCCTTGGGGGGCTTACAGTCAGCTCCTCCCTTCTCAGCCCCACTCAGGTTTCATCCAGGATGAGGGTTGGGAAAGGCTGTTTGGGCTCAGCTGGGTTCAGGGAATCCATGGCCCCTTGCCAGGAGGGAAGAAAGGGAGGCAGAGGTGAAATCCAGACGCTGTGGGCTGAGACCTGGAACTTTCCAGACTTTCCCGGCTGAGAGGGCAGGTTTAGGGCAATGGAAAGGCTGACAGGTAGGGTGACAGTGGCCCCAGGACCCGGGAGGCCAGGCAAAAGGTCAGCCTGGTGCTGAACACCAATTCCTCAGTGGGATCCAAGACCCTGCCCCCATCCCCAGCTCACATGTAGGCCCCTGCTGACTCCAGCTGGTCCCCCCAAGACCTGGGAGGGGCTGGGGCCAGGGCCTGGGCCCCTCTGCCATCGCAACCACAAGTGCCACAACAATTTGCCTGGGCCAGACATGGTATAAATATTATCCACTCCCCCTCACAACTCTAGGGGCGGGTATGACTTCTCCCATTTCACAGAAGAGAAAACCAAGGCTCAAAAGCAGAACAAGGTAGTAGTTAAAAAGCACATCCTGAGTTTGAATCTGGGCTCCGCTGTATTAACGCAGACAAATCACTTCCTCCTCTGTAAAATAGGCATAATAACCCTATTGGTACCCCCAACCTCCACCCCACTCCATGGCCTAATGAAGGGATTAAGTGAGAGGTGTTAGTAAAACCACCAATAATTGCTGGTTCCTGGAATCAGAGAGGTTAGGTAACTTGCCCAAGATCACCCAGCAAGTGACTGGCCAACCCCAAGCACTAGCTCTGAGCACAGCCCTTTCCCTAAAAACTTGGGCTGCCCATGTGGGTGGCCACGGGATCACAGGGATCACAGGCTTCCCAGGCAACCGAAGACGGCCCCGCCCCCGCAGCAAAGGGCAGCCCTTGTCTGAATTCCTCAGATAAGCAGTTCCTCGTAGATTGGGGAGCCTCTAGGCCTGAGCAGGCCCAAGTGCACAGAAAAGGCACCCCACCCTGTCCACACCGGAGATTCCTAAATCTGCGTTAGGCTGTATGGCTCCCCTCCCCTCCTCCCAGCAGAACCCATTCGACCCCTAGATTCATTCAACAGGTCTCCAAATAGGCCAAGATCAGTTGACAACTGTCTCCTGCGAGGTCCCTGGCAAGCCACTTACTTCCTCTTTCTGGGCCTCAGTTTCTCCACTTATAACAGGCACCCCCATCTCAGAAGCATGAGGCAGATCCAGCTAACTGGGCCCACAAGGAGGCCTGAGGGGCAAAGGGACAGACCAGGGAAGGGAACCAGCATGTCCTAGGCGCTGGGCCAGGCCCCTGCACCACATTGCATTTACTGAAACTTCTCCACACCTCTCCGACAGAGACCTGTAGCAGGCCGAGAGAGCGACTGAGCCAGGACTCCAACCCCCTCCCTCAGACTCCAAGGCACTCTCCTGGACAGGCCAGGACTATGTGACCCCAGGTGGGCCAGTCAGTGGGAGCAGCCTGGGCACTCAGTCGCCCTCAGCAATGAGCTGGGCAGAGAGACACGCAGGATGGGGAAGAACACAAAACCAAACTTGATGGAGCCTCTTTCAGTGAGGGTGGCAGCCTCCTTGAGAAGGGCATTTGCAATGCAAAGCACCCCAGCTCCAGCCAGAACAGTGCTGTCACTCTGAAGGGGGCTAGGCAGGCCAAAATCCAGCCACTGCCCTCCACCCAGACCGGGAGGGCCTAGGGCGGGCTGTCCCAGCAGCCAGGAGTGCCAGGGAACCTGTGGCTGGCCCGGGCTCTAAATCATATGACAGCCCGAGTGGCCAGCTGAGTGCAAAGTAGCCTGGAATGCTCTTCCCCTTCTTACCCCTCAAGGCACAAACCCTGCTGGGCTCTTCAAGTCTGCAGAATGGGCCCACCGCAAGCTGTGTGCAGGACCCCAAGAGAGGGCTGAAAGAAGAGATCCCCAGGTGTCCGGCTGGTCACCTGCTAACCAGTGCCCAGCACCTTGCCAGCTTCCTCAGGCCCAGACTTCCCAGATCACTCAGTCCTGCATTGTGCAAACCTGCCCCAGACACACATAAATCCCCAGGACTCTCTGGGCCCCCAGGGGCGCTTCCACACTGGCCAAGTGGCTAGATCTATCTCGCTCCTTATCCCCCTCCCCTGCAGGCGCGACTGCCCCAGCTCCTACCTCGACGACAAGCTGACAAAATCCCCGCCATCCAGCAGCCGGACCTTGCAGAAGAGGACCCCGTTCACAAAGGGGACCGCAGTCAGCTCCTCCAGGGTGAAAGTGGTTTGAAATTTGAATTTCTTCTTCTTCATCAAGAAAGCCATGAGCGAGTTCCCTGAGTCTGAAGCCCCGAAGGCCAAAAAAAAAGGGGGGAGCCAGAAATCCCCAGGATTCCTTTCCCTACACCACACCCCCTCCTCAAAACACCAGAGCTGGATCCCGCCCAGATGGTGGCGGAGGCGGCAGAGAGGACGGGGATGTAGGTCCGGAGAGCACAGGTCGGAGCGACCAGTCCAGTTCGCGGGCCGGCTGGTTTCACCCTCGGGGAGCCGGGGCTCGGAAGGGCTCGGAGTGGCCGGGGGCTTCACCGGCATGTAAACAGCGGAGCATGGCCCAGGAGACAAGGGCAGGGGCGGCGGGCGCCGCGCGAGCAGCCGCGCTGGCGGGCAGCATCCCGAGCCGCGGTACCCGGGGAGCTCACGCCGCGCGGCCGGGCGCGGCAGGCGGACCGGTGAGACTGAGGGCGCCGAGCGGACCGGTGAGGCCGGGGGCGGCCCCGCCTCCGCCCCCGCCCCGCCGGCGACCGGGGGAGGTGCCCTCGCGGCGCACACGCCCCCGCACCTGGGTGCCGGGCGGCCGGAGCAGGTGAGTCAGGGGAGGCTGAGGCCCCCCAGGGGGCGGCCGGGAGCTCTGGGGGGCCTCTCCAGGAGGCGCGTCCGGGACGCTCCGGGCCGGGGACGTCCGGCCGCGGCCCCTCTGGGCGGGCACCGGGCCCGGCCCCGGGCAGCGGGGGCGCCGCCTCCTCCTCTGTCCTGGGTCCCGCACCGCGGGCCCCGGTGGAGCTGAGGCGCCTCTCCGGCCGGCCGGTGGCGCCCGCCTCACCCGCCGCCACGGCCCAGCACCCCGCGAGCAGCAGCGCCGCCGCCTGCGCTCCCAACGCCGCCGCCCGAGCCCGACGCTGCGCGGCACCGCTGCGAGAATGCCGAGGCCCAGCACGGCCGCCGCCGAGCCGCCGCCGAGCGCGAGAGGGGCGGGGCGCCGGCGGCCCAGCCCGCCCGCGATTGGGCGGCCCGGCGAGCCGAGCGCGGAGCGCGATTGGCGAACAGCGGCGTTGGGCGGGACTCGCAGGAGGCAGAGGCAGCTCGGGACGCTCGGATTGGTGCGCCGTGCGGTTGGGCCCGCCTCCTCGGTCGGGGCGGAGCGCGAGGGGGGAAAGGGAGAGGGGCCCCGGGAAGGCAGTGGGAGGTCGCGGGGCGGGAAGCCGGGGCTGGCAGGGCGAGGAGGAGGGCGCGAGCAGAAGAAAAGGAGAAACAATGAAGAGAAGAAACAATATGAACACTGTGGCTGGAATGGCCTCCCGTGTTCCCCGAGACTTGAGCTCGTTGACCACTAAATCAGGCCCAGAAGGTGGCGAGTCCCATTTTTCAGAAAACACTCAGAAATGGTCAGGTATCTAGACCAAGCAGGTATCTCACCTCCCAGTTTTTAGTTCTCAGCCCTGAGGAGGGAAGTGTCTGCAAAGACGTCGCCAAGGGGGTGAATTGGAGCATTTCGTTACGCAACCTTGTGCTAGACCCATCTTCTCCTGTCCGAAGCGCTATCTTTTGTTGTCGGTTAGTTTCTTACCTAGTTGAGGCTGGTCTTCCTGACTAGATTAACGGCCCTGGCCACAGAGACTGCTTCGGGAGCTTCCCAGGTCCTGGACACATTGTTGTTCTTTCATTTAGTCCCCAGATGTTAAAGGGCAATCTGCTCTGAGCCAGGCTCAGACCCAGCAGTGAGCCTGGTGGGCCCGCCCTCTCCAACGTCTTCAAGCCAAAGACGAGCTGGAGAAGCAGACGGCGGACACAGGCAGTGACAAATCTGGTGGATGAGAACTGTACACAGGCAGTGACAAATCTGGTGGATGAGAACTGTAATGGGGGATGTGACGTACAGAGGACTGAGGAAGTTCCGTGGAGATGGGGGCTGGGGAAGGGGACTCAGAAAGAAGGCTTCTCACACAGTGACCCAAGCCACCAGCAGGATTCACCCCTCAGTTAGGCAGGGTCTAGGCAGAGGAAGGGGTCCTGGAGAGGCCTGGCACCCAGAGAGTGCAGTGCCCACAGAAAGCTGGGAGGACCCTACTGTCTGGCTACATTGTGGTGATTTGAGAGAGAGGGACCAGAGCTGGGGCTAGAAGGCCTGTGGTGGCTGGATGTTGCAGTCTTGTTGTAGAGCAGAGTAAGGAGGGGAGCCACGCACGCATTTTGAACAGGAGAGTGACCCAGACAGATTTGCTCTGTTGTAAGAAGCTTGCTCTGGCTGCAGGTCGTGTGGAGGGGAGAAGATGGGAAACAGAAGTGAGGAGTCTGTTGAGGTGATCCAGGCAAGATAAGATGACAGCAGAACCTCAGCACAGGGGGAAAACGAGAGGATGGGTCTGAGAGGATTTCAAGAGACAGATTCAGCTGGACTCGAGGGGGAGTTAGGTCCGGACGTGTAACTGAGGATTCAGATTTCTGATTTCTTCCTGCCTCCCAGCCATAAAATGGCTGGCAACCTGCACTTTTCTCCGGCTTGTCCCATAATTTAGAAAACACAGCCGGATAGGAGAAAGATGATAATAGCAGCTCCCAGTGCTGTTACATATCTCTGTTTACAGCCAGGGGAGTTGAGGCCTGGAGAGTTTGAATCACTTGACCCTGGAGCCCAGGCTCTAGAGTGCTGAGCTGTGCTGCCCACGCGGTGGGGTGTGTTCTCTCACTAATCCTGGTGGGCCTGCTCCAGGGGGAAGAGCCTGTGGCTACCTGACCCCAGGAGGGAATTTCGGAGGAGGGAGCCAGCCAAGGTTGTCCCAAGTCCTGGCTAGCTCCTCAGCTGTGACCGTGAGTAACCCCAGGCCACTCCGACAGGAAGCAGGGTGGGCCTAGCTGCCAGACTTAGCTCGGGTGGGGTATTTGTCTCTCTGCAGCCTCAGGGCTGGGAACCCAGGAAGTTTCCCTCCCCTCATTTCCCAGATGGTGCCTGGGGAAGGGACAGAGCTTGGTGCCAGGATACGATGCTCCATTTGGAGTGAGACAAGCCCGGTTAGAATCCTGACTCTGCTGAACATTGGCATTGTGGCCTTGGTTCAGGACACTGAGGCTCTGGGGCTCCAAATAGAGAGGGGAATCAGTATGGTATGGCTGGGACCGCTTGCCTTGGAGCCAGCAGAGCTGGGTTTGAAATCTGGCTGGCACAACATTGACCCCCTGTGTCACACAAACTTGGGGTGTAGTTTTGCATGCATAGAAAGGAATGCATACACCCTAAACTTTTCCATTTCTGATCCACAGTTCCTTTACTGGTAAAATGGGAACGAGGATACCATCCTTTCCAGATGTTGTAAGAGCTTCAAGAGGCTTAGGCAAAAGAGGAAAAAGGCTTAGGCCTGAAGTGACATGGGGATCTGAGCAAGTGGTGCGCAGGGGGTTCCAGGCCAGCACTTCCACTTCTCCAGCCCCAAAATTCCCCAGCATAGGCTGTCCTACCTCCCTGAAGCCCTGACCAGACGTATAAGGAAACCAGTACCTAGCAAGATAATTCAGACAAGTGGTCTGGAGAAGGAAGCCCATGTGAGAGAGGATGATTGGACTGGGGGTCCTGATTTAGGTGGGGTAGTCAAGGAAGGTCTCTGTGAGGTGCTGTCTCAGCCCAGACCTAAATAATAAGGGAGACCCAAGCACAGGAAGCTCTGGGGGCAGAGGCAGGAGTTGGATGTTTCAGGGGCTCTGTTTGACAGGAGTGGAGTAAGTAGAGGGAGGAGAGAGAGGCGTGGGGTCAGGAGGAGCCTGCTCACATGGGCCTTGTGGACCTGGGAGGGGTTTAGATTTTAGTCCAAACCCAAAGGGATACCACTGGAGGATGTAAGCAGGTTAGTGACAAGATCCAAAATACCTTTTTAAAAGTTCCTTCTGGCTTCTATGTGGAGAGTGGATTGATTGTCAGGGGGCAAGAGCAGAGCAGAGCAGACAGCTGAGGAGGCTATGACAGGCATCCCGACAGGAGACTGGTGGCTCAGACCACAGTGGAATGAGAGCAATGGGAGGAGAAAGGGGACACATTTCAGAGGAAGAGCTCAGCACTTGCTGAGCAATGATAGCAGTTACTCAATTAGCGCTTTTTGAGCATTGCCAGGATTTTTAATTTGACTGAATGCCACGAGGTTCTTGAAGTGGGGAGGTAAGTGAGCAGAGCACTGGGAGAGGTGTGGGGAAGGAGTGGAGCGGGACAGAGGGATTCAGTGGGACTGCAGCCTCTAAACGGGAACCACAACTGCGAACATGGGACAGCCTTAGAGAATCTTTCCCCTTATCTGGCCCTGGACAAACTCTTGTGATGCTGTTTACTTATCTCTCTCTCCCATTAGATCACAAGTTTAATAGGGTCAGACATCTCATCCTGCTGTCCCCACGTCCAGTGCTGCCACATGATAGACGCTCTATAAGTCGTTGTCAAAGGAATGGATACATGGATGGATGCATGTATGCATGATTGAATAGATACATGGATGGATAGGTGCATGGATGGATAGGTGCATGGATGGTTGGATAGATGCATGGATGGATAGGTGCATGGATGGATAGATGCATAGATGGATAGGTGCATGGATGGATGGATAGATGCATGGATGGATAGGTGCATGGATGGATGGATAGGTGCATGGATGGATAGGTGCATGGATGGATAGATGCATGGATGGATGGATGGATAGATGCATGGATGGATGGATAGGTGCATGGATGGATAGGTGCATGGATGGTTGGATAGATGCATGGATGGATAGGTGCATGGATGGATGGATAGATGCATGGATGGATAGGTGCATGGATGGATGGATGGGTAGATAGCTATAGATTTAACTGTGTCACTCGTACTTTAGCACTCCTCAGTATTGCCAATAACTATCAAAATTCAGTGTGCACAATTCGTTTTAAAGTAAATTACACAATAGTAATACTGACACATGTACAAAGATACATGTGCAAGATGGCCCCTGCACTGTTGTGTATTATACAAAAATATTGGAGCAGCCTGATGTCTGGCAGTAGGAAGAGGGAGGCCTTGAGGGCAAGGACTGTGTTTTGTTCGCTGCTCAATCCTTAGCACCTGGACTGTGCCTGGTACATAATAGAGGTCAATAAATGTTTGTCGCATGAAGGAAAGCGTCATCACTGAGATGCCATGCAGCTGTTGAGAAGGATGCTGGAGATGTGTGTGTGCTAAGGTGAGAGATGTCCACCCTATCGTGGCAAAGCAAGTCATAGAACAGTGTGTAAGGGAAGAGCTGACTTTTGTGAAAAAAAAAATAGATGTTTTTATATATACATAGGATCTTGAGGGGCCGGCCCCGTGGCGCAGCGGTTGGGTTCCCACATTCTGCTTCTCGGCTGCATGGGGTTTGCCGGTTTGGCTCCCAGGTGTGGACATGGCACCACTTGGCACACCATACTGTGGTAGGCGTCCCACGTATAAAGTAGAGGAAGATGGGCACGGATGTGAGCTCAGGGCCAGTCTTCCTCAGCAAAAAGAGGAGGATTGGCAGCAGATGTTAGCTCAAGGCTAATCTTCCTCAAAAAAAAAAACAAAAGAAGAAGAAGAAGAATCTTGAGGGATACACCCTAAACTGTTACCAGGGGGTTCCATCTGAGGAGAAGGTTTGGAGGGAAATTTTTACTTTATTTTAATGAATATTCTTGAGTATTGTTTGGCTTTTGTAATATGATCAATTAGTTTTATAATTCAATAGTATATAATTATAAGGATATTATCAGCAAAAGCCCTTCCGTGCTTCTCTATCACCCTCTGCATAAAATCCAAGGTCCTTAGCCTGGCATTCAGGCGCCTCTGGAAGCAACTGCTGAGCCCCTCCCTGCCTGCCTCCTTCAGGCCTCTGCGGCCCTGCCCACAGGTCCTGGCCTTGTCCCCCTGCCCGCCC